ACTATGGTACATCTACACAATAGAATACTATGCTGCCATAAAAATAGAAGGAATCTGAAAAGGCTTCAGACTGGGAGGAGCGCGATGAGAAGCAGGAGCCACTGCTAAGCGCCAGCAAGCTGGGCGCTGGCAAGGAGCCGGGCGACAGGGTCCTGGGGAAGGTGCCACTGGGCCCTCAACCGATAATCATAGGCAACGGAGCCGAGACTGGGGGCTGCTTCCGCGCAAGAGGCCAAGGAGAACAAAGGGGCGCAGTGAGCCAGCCTGCTGAGCTTCCAGGACGAGGAAGAAGAAACCGAAGAAGTTTTCAATGTGAAGAATCAAGTTATAGCAAAATGATAGTAAAATTACTTAAGAAAGAATACAAAAAAGATATTGAAAAATGGAAGATTACGACAGAATTCAACTCAGCAGCCAACATTGCAACATAAATGCATTAAAAAAAAAAAAAAAAAGACAGAATGTTGGAGCGGTGGCGGCCAGGCCCAGAGTGGCCAGGCCCAGGGCAGTGGCAGCGGGCCTGGAGCAATAGCAGCCAGGCCCCGGAGCAGCAGCAGCAACCCGGCCCGGAGAGGCAGCAACCGGGCCCCAAGCAGCAGTGATCAGACCTGGAGCGGCCCGGAGCAGCCAGGCCAGGAACAGCTCACTCTTCGTCTGCCCATGCCCCAGAGCTGCCTTTCAGACATGGCTGGAAACTTTTGGGGGAACTTGAGGGTCTGCTGAACCAAATGAGAAAGGCTTAGATCTGGATGTGTTAAATCAGTATTGCGCTCGGGTGTTGATCTGTGAGTGCCTTGTGTGGGGTCTGGATGAGGTTGGTTGATCTATTTGGAAATGTCTTTTGTGTGAAGTGTATCCTTGGGCATGTGGAGGTATTAGTGATTTGAGAAAATGCTAAGTAATTGATTTACTACCTGAAAAATTTAAAGTTCTGAAAGTTTAAGGTCTCTTGCCAAAAAGAGGTTTTAAAGCTAATACCTTAATTTTAATGGAGAAAGGGGAAAAGAAGCCCAACCCACCCAGAACAGGTAATCCAATTCCAGCAAGCAGCTATCTTTAAATAATGTGTTCATTTACATTTGAATGGATACGCCTTTTGATAGCCTAAGGGCAAGTTTACATGTAAACAAGTTTGCTTCTCAGTTCCCAGGGCAGAGAAAACAAGGTTTAAAATTATTAGATTTTAAAATTTATTCTTAAAAATATAAAATTAAAAAAAACAAGGACATTAAAAAACCTGCCGAAACCGGTTTGGCTCAGTGGTAGAGCGTCGGTCTGCGAACTGAAAGGTCCCAGGTTCAATTCTGGTCAAGGGCATGTGCCTTGGTTGCGGGCATATCCCCGGTGGGGGGTGTGCAAGAGGCAGCTGGTCAATGTTTCTCTCTCATCGACGTTTCTAGCTCTCTTTCTCCCTTCCTCTCTGTAAAAAATCAATAAAATATATTTAAAAAAAAAACTGATGAACAATATTAACTGTTGATTATAATAGAATCAGAGATACGGGAGGGGAGTGGACTGACAATTCACAGGGGGAAAAGGCGAGTGGTGGATGCGAAAGAGACTGAACATAAACTGCACCAACGGATGAGGACAATGTGGGGTGGGGAAAGGGCAGAGAGTGGGGTAGGAACCTGGTGGAGGGGGGAAGAAATGAGGAACCTTGGTAATAATATGAACAATAAAAATTGATTTTTTAAAAAAAATTTAAAAAAATAAAAAATAAAATAATTAACTCACAAAAAAAAAAAAAAAGGAATTCTTATAATTTGCAGCAACCTGGATGGAATTGGAGAACATTATGCTGAGTGAAATAAGCCAGTCAATGAAAGAAAAACACCACATGATCTCATTCATTTATGGATAATAAAGAACATTATAAACTGATGAACAAAAGGATAGATACAGAGACAGTAAAGCAAACAGACTGTCAAATTACAGTGGGGAGGGTAGGAAAATATGGGGGAGATAAGAGATCAACTGAAGGACTTGTATGGATGCATATAAGCATAACCAATGGACAAAAAACTCTGGGGAGGGAGGGCTTGTATGGGCATGGTGGGGAGCAATGGTAAGATATGTACACATATAATACCTTAATAATAAAAAAATAAAAATAAATAAAATTAAGTTAAATTAAATTAAAAAGTGGGCTAGAAGCCAAGTCCCTAAATAAATAAATAAATAAATAAATAAAAATATCCTCAGGTGAGGATTAAAAAAATAATAATAAAGAAAAATTAAATTTGAAATTATACTTACTTGAAAAATCAGGTTAAAATTCTCATTTCTCAAGTTTTGCACATCCAAAAGATATTGAAAATATATGAGTTTCGTTTGCAGTATGGCAAGATAAGACCACTATACCCTATTTCCCTTACTAATTACAACTAAAACCCCTAGACAAAGCACAAAAACTGTGAAAAGTACACAAAGCAGGAAATTGTAAAAAGAAGTGAAAACTTGAAGTAACCTAAAGTAAGTAGTTTCTTAAGATTTTTTTCCGCCGGGACCGGTTTGGCTCAATGGATAGAGCGTCGGCTTGGGGACTGAGGGGTCCCGGGTTCGATTCCGGTCAAGGGCATGTACCTTGGTTGAGGGCATATCCCCAGTAGGGGGTGTGCAAGAGGCAGCTGATCTCATCGATGTTTCTAACTCTCTCTCTCTCTCCCTTCCTCTCTGTATAAAATCAATTAAAAAAAATTTAAAAAAAAAAAAAAAAGATTTTTTTCCTACTCATTTTCTATAGCAGACTTAGGCCAGGGCAGGCCTCAGTAATTGCAAAGTACAGCTTTAGTGTAGGCTGCTAAAACTCTGAGGCATGTTGGGAACCCAGTGGAGGGGGATAATGGAGAAAATGAAGGACAGCTGTAATAATATCAACAAAAAGATTTTGTAAGAAGCATAGGGAGATTCAGCATAATTGAATTGCAGCTTAAAAAAAACTAAGATATAGAAAAATCATGTAATGTTTCTATTTACATGACATTTTGGAAAAAACAGGGACAGAAAGAAGATCAGTGGTTTTTAAGGGTTGAGATTAGGGGAACAGGGATAACTACAAAGAGAACAAGGAAAATTTAAGTGCTGGAATTATTATCTTGATTATGGTGGTGATTACAAGACTTTTAAAATAGAAAGAATTTTACGCTGTATATTATACATACAGGAATATATTTCTTGATATGAAACAAAGAAGGGTGCAATCCTTTCAAATAAAAGAGCAATATGCAAATTAACCAACACTCTGTCACACCCACAAGCCATGCCCACCAGCCAATCAGGAGCAAGTATGCAAATTAACCCAATCAAGAGGGCTGCAGCCACTAGTGAGCAGGAGGTTTGGGTTTCCCTGGCAATGGAGGAAGCTAACCTTTCCTGGCAGAACCAGGCCTCCACTCAAGGCTACAAAGTTTCAATTATAGAAGATAAAGAAATCCCAACAAAAATGGCTGCAACCATGGAGCGAACAGGAGGCTTGGCTCCACTGAAGGCTACAAAATTTCAATTTTAGAAGATAAATAAATCCCAGATATCAGGGTTTCCGTTTGGGTCACTAAGAGGCTTGGTTTGCCTGCAATCCACCACAGGCCCCTTGCCCAGGCCACCCCACATCCCAAGGGAACCCCCACCCTGATCCAAGATGCCCTTCAGGGCAAACCAGCTGACTCCCACCTGTGCACCAGGCCTTTATCTAATAAAAGAGTAATATGCAGATTGACCATCACTCCAACACACAAGATGGCTGCCCCCATGTGGTCAAAGATGGCTGCCCCCATGTGGACACAAGATGGCCACCATAGATGGCCAGAAGGGGAGGGTAGTTGGGAGGAATCATGCCTGCAAGAAAGGGTAGTTGGGGGCAATCAGGCCAGCAGGGGAAGGAAGTTGGGAGGGACTAGGCCTGCAAGGGAAGGCAGTTGGGGTGACCAGGCCAGCAGAAGAGGGAAGTTGGGGGTGACCAGGCCTGCAGGGGACAGCAGTTAGGGGCAAATAGGCTGGCATGGAGCAGTTAGGCATCAACCAGGCTGGTAGGGGAGTGTTTAGGGGGTGATCAGGCTGGCAGGCCAAAGCGGGTTGGAGCTATCAGGAAGGCAAACAGTTGGGAGCCAGCAGACCTGGATTGTGAGAGGGATGTTCGACTGCCCGTTTAGGCCCAATCCTACTGAAATCGGGCCTAAACAGACAATTGGACATCCCTCAAGGGGTCCCAGATTGGAGAGGGTGCAGGCTGGGCTGAGGGACATATACCCTCATGCACAAATTTTGTGCACAGGGCTTCTAGTACAACCTATATAACATTTTTCACATAAACAATTAATCTGAATATAATCAAATCCAGAATAAGACATACTCTATAATAGTGGCCATCAACCAGTGCTCCAGGGAGCACTAGTGGTCTATGAGGTTGAAAAGGTTGGCAACTGCTGGTTTAAGAAAACCTTTGGAGCAGTGGTCGCCAACCGGTAGTCTGCAGACCACTGGTGGTTCATGAGGTCCGAAAGGTTGGCAACTGCTGCTCTATAAGAATACTGGCCTGGAGCTTTCAAAGAGAAGTCTTTCAAAAAACAAAAATAGGCCTAAGCTGGTTTGGCTCAATGGCCTGCAGACTGAAAGGTCCCAGGTTCAATTCCGGTCAAGGCCACGTGCCAGTGGGAGGTGTGCAGAAGGCAGCTGATCGATATTTCTGGCTCTCTCTCCCTCTCCCTTCATCTCTGTGAGAAAATCAATAAAAAAAATATACTTTTTTAAAATAGTAGAGTTGACTGCTCTAGATTCAAAGAAAGCACAAAGATATGAAAAGGAAACATAATGCATGGATTATGTCTAGTTTCTTGATCCAAAAATACAACAAAAGAAGCAATAAAATACATTTCCCAGGTGGGAAAGTGAGTGTGAACTGTACATCAAATTACTTAAAAGCCTCTGTGGAAAATGCTAATAACTAGTGGATCTAAATTAAGAGAAAAAAGAGAAACTCTAAAATCAAATGCTATAGTTACCTCCTTCATAACCTGAAATCTTATAAGAACTTCTTCTTCCACACCTTTCATTTTGCTCAAGGCAGTTTCATGTCTGAACAATAGTTGTTCTCTTTCAACTAAAAAATGTTCTCGCTTCTGAAGTTCTTCAGCAAATTCCTGTTGTGCTGCAGTTTCACACTGTATCAAAATATAAGATTTAAAAATGTGTTTTTAAAAGTACATTCACAAATTCTACAAATTATATTTTATTTACTAAAACAGAATAATCAATGGTACCAAGCAAAATCTGGATTACAGTAATAATTAGAGTAGTACAACAGCAAGTAAACTTGTACAGAAATTTTAATTTGCTGTAAAAATAACATGATACTATAGTGAGATTTTGGGGTCCAAAATTAGTATTATACTGAATTAATCCTCTATCCAATCCAGCTTAAATTCCCTGCTCCACTTCAAATTAATAGTCCACTTTTTTACTTCTGTTATGTTGGGCTAAAAGACCCAAGCCCTGAACTAAAGCACTAACTGCCTTTCCTACCTCAGTTCTATACTGCTAAATACTGCTGGAGAAAAATCACACACCATGAAAAGCAGTACCATTGTGAATGTATTGTCTCACACCTCTAATGCAGTCTAGAAATCTTATTTATATTTTCATGGTTGGCTCTCTCTTTCCCATTCTCCACAGTGTCTATTTCAAACCTTCTCCACTCTTTACCTTGAACATATCACCTTCTCTGTCCTTCAGTGCAAACAGCCTCATCTCTATCTTCACAGGGAAAATAGAAGAAAGCCAAAGAAATCAACCCCTGCCCTCAATACACACATTTATAAATGTGCCCTTACTCCCTATTATAAAACTAGAGGCTAGATGCATGAAATTCATGCACAGGAGGGGGTCCCCTCAGCCAAGCTTGCACCCTCTCCAATACGGGACCCCTCAGGGATGTCTGATTGCAGGTATAGACATACCTCTCACAAGCCTGGACTACTGGATGCTAATCACACACCTGCCAGCCTGGTCACCCCTCACAGCCCCTCCAACCAGCCTGGTTGCCCTACGCAGCCTTCTTGTTCAGTTGTTTGGTGGTCCCTCATTCCCCCCCCACTCCTCTCCCCGCTCCCCTCCGCTGACCTGGTCATAGACAGCCATCTTGTGAGGGCATGAGGGTTAATTTGCATATTATCTTTTTATTATATAGGTCTAGAGGCCCATTGCACAAAGGGATTCCCTTGGCTTTTTCTCCGGCACCCAGGACCCAGGCCTTTGCTCCAGCCAGAGTCTGCCTTCTTCGTCTTTGCTGCAGACTCCAGAGTCTGCAATCTTGTCTTCGCTGCGGCACTCCGCTCCTGCAGATCCCTTCGCCACTCCCTCCCTCCCCCGCCCTCTCTCTCATAGCAAGTGTCTTGCCCCTCTTGGCCACTCCGAACCTGGAGCATTTGGGTGGCCTTCTAACTTGCATACTCACTCTTGATTGGCTGTGGGCAAAGCTGAGGTAGAGTCAATTTACATGTTTGTTTATTATTAGGTAAGGTAAGCTCAGGATCTCATTGCCTTCTGCCCTCTTGTGGAGACTGCCATACTGAGTATTCCTTTAATATTTTTGACATCTTCCATCTTATCTGAAATTAAATCTTTTGACCCCACTCAACTTATCTCCTCCCCTTCACAAACTTCTTTAAAACTGTGTCTACATTTGCTGAGCCCTCTTCTGTACCTCTCAATAATCTGTGAATTTATTTTAATCTGGCCTCAGCCAATGTACCCCTATTTAAATGACTTAACTTTACAAAATCTAAAGATCACTTTTCAGTCCTAATTTTATTGAATCTTCAGCAATGTCTTATATTATTGTCCCTTTATTCCAACTTAAAATATTATTTCATCAGTTTCCACATTCTTCTGGTTTTCCACATCCCTCTCTGTCTCCTATGTGGGCTCTGTTTCATCTTTTGTCCTTTAAATTACTAATGTTCCTCAGACTTTGGACATCAGCCATTTATTTCGCATTTTTCACACACTCTCTGCTTGGTTCCATCCACACAATGGCCAATTTCACCCAACCTACAACTACTCAGCTCTTTCTCTAAGCTCCAAACTCAAGTCCAATCAACCTATTTGACATATGCTTTCAGGCAACAAAAATAAACATGTGCTTTCAGGCAACAAAAATAAACATGTGCTTTCAGGCAACAAAAATAAACATGTCTAAAACTGAGTTCAATTAGCAATCAGGAAAATGGAAATGAACACTACCATGATGAACAAAAAAAAGAACAAAATATTGCCATCCACAACAGCATGGATCGACCTAGAGGGTATAGTTCTAAGTGAAATAAGTCAGACAAAGAAAAATACCACATGATTTCACTAATATGTGGGGGTTTTTTTTGGAAAATCAAAACAAATAAGGAAAACAAAACACACTTAGATTCATAGAAACAAAGAACAAACTGATGGTTGCCAGGGGGGAGAATAGTGGAGGGATGGATGAAAATAGTGAAGGGCAATACAGTTAAAAGCAGTGTGATAACTTTGCAACTTCACTAGACTTAGTGTGCTGAGCATACCACAATGTATATAAAAATGTTGAATCACTATGTTGAAACTAATATAATATTATACACCAACTATACTTTAATAAAAAATATTTTAGCCAGACCGGCATGGCTCAGTGGTTGAGATTCAAAGTATGAACCAGGAAGTCACAGTTTCAATTCCTGATCAGGTTATATGCGGGGGTTGTGGGCTCAATCCCAAGTAGGCAGGAGGCAGCCAATCAGTAATTCTTTCTCATCACTGATGTTTCCATCTCTCTCTCCTGCTCCTTTCATCTCTGAAATCAAGAAAAAATAAATTTTTAAAAAATACTTTTAAAAATCCACAATGAAACATCACCCTGCACCCCCTTAAAATGGCTAGAATCAAAAAGACAAAATAACAAATGTCAAGGATGAGGAGAAACTGGAATCCTTGTTCACTAATGAGAATGTAAAATGATACAGTCACTTTGGAAAATAGTCTGATAGTTCCTCAAAATACATCGAGTTACCATATGATCCAGTAACTCTACTCCTAAGAATACAAACGAGCAAAACTTAAAACACGAATGTTCTTAGCCACATTACTCATAATAGTCAAAAAGTGGAAACCCAAATGTACATGAATTGATGATTTGATTTAAAAATAAAAAAAAGTAGAGCCCAGCCAGTGTTGCTCAATTGTTGAGTGTTGCCTCTGAACCAACAGGACACAATTTGATTCCTGGTCAAGGCACATGCCTGGGTTGCAGGCTGGAATCCTGTAGAGGGGTACACATGAGGCAGCCAATCACTTATTCTCTCTCATCATTGATGCTTCTATCTCTCTCTCCTTCCCCCTTCATCACTGAAATAAAAATATAAAGAGAAGAAAAAATGGCAGCCAAATTAGGCAGAAGTGTAGTGCACCTCATCCAGGGGCCAGACTGGAAATCTAAATCGGAGAACACCTGGAATTAAATTAGGCACAGCTGAGGAGGCAACCTACAAGGAAGGGCAGACAATGCCTGGAGACTAGTAGGAAGGGTGGCAAGGGCTCTAGAAGGGCAGCAGGCCACCAAGCCATCGGACCAAGAGGGAGAGGAGGAAGCTGCATTAAGGAAGTAGCAGTTCCCTCAGAAAAACAGATGCCCAGCCTAGGTTGAGCACCAAAACCATGTCCCTTAGTGGCAGGTGTTACATCCAACTGTGAAAAGGAGCCACAGGGCTGCTGGGGAGTCTGGACCCAAGACCAGAGCGGCGAAAGGCTGCACCACGAGAGTGCTGGGGAGGAGAGAAAGCCATGAAATCATTGTTTTTGTTTTGTATTTCATTTTGTTATGTTTTCAGGGCTTATTCTTTATTTTTTTAATAATATTTTAAAATTATAGTGTAGTTTTAGGTGCACAACCCATTGATTGGACATTTATGTAACTTACAAAGTGACCATGCCGAAAAATCTAGTACCATCAAACACCATAGAGTTATTATATTATTGATTACATTTCCTATGCTGTACTTTACATGACTATTCTGTACCAGCTAATTTTGTTTTTTAATTCTTACTGTTGAATGTATTACATATGCCCCTTTAATCCCCCATTGCCCTCTCCTAGCCCACTCCCAACTCTAACCCAGGCCTTCACCTCCCTATTGTCTGTGTCCATTGATTATGCTTATATGCATACAAGTTCTTTGGTTTATCTCTTATCAGTAGCCCCCAACCCTCACCCATCCACCCCTGCCTTACCTCTGAGGTTTGACACTTCTATGTCTCTGGATCTATTTCTGTCCATCAGTTTACACTGTGCATTATATTCCACAAATGAGTGATATCATGTGATACTTATATATATATATTTTTTGACTGGCTTATTTCACTGAGCATAATGCTCTCCAGGTCCATCCATACTGTTGCAAATGGTAAGAGTTCTTTCTTTTTTACAGCAGTGCTGTATTCCATTGTGTATTTGTTTTTATTTTTTTAACCCGGAACACTCATTGCAATCACTAAGCCAAGGCTTTGGCACAGGGAGGGAGGCACTGACTTGAGATGCTTGAAGAGAGGCTGGGGAGGGAAGCAGGGCAGAGAGACCTGCCCAAGGGTCCAGCATTAGGCTTCCAAACTTAAGGGGCCATTTCTCCCCAGAGGAGCTAACCTCTCCGAGTAGCCTCAGGGCAGGTGATGCAGCTTGCCATACACTGTATTTACAGCTTTGCAGAGGAAACAAAGACAGAGGCCAAGCTTACAAGTCTAAATAGTCTCAATGAGTCCTCAGTGACTGGATTGAAAGAGGGCCCTGTTGTCCCCGATATTCTGGGAACCAGACTGATAAAAACTCCAGATTGCCAGCCAACCCCATTGGTCTCCATACAAGGATCTCTGTCCAACCAAGGATAGAATGATATTTTGGGCTACTTGTGGAGCACTACTTGTGGGGCAGGAAAAAATACCCATCTTGCCCTAGCTGGTTTGGCTCAATGGATAGAGCATCAGCCTGCGGACTGAAGGGTCCCAAGTTCTAGTCAAGGGCACATGCCCAGGTTGCAGGCTGGATCCCTAGTGTGGGGCAGGCAGGAGGCAGCCAATCAATAATTCTCTCATCATTGATGTTTCTCTCTCTCCCCCTCTCCCTTCCTCTCTGAAATCAATAAAA